GCAGGAGCACAAGTTTGAGCCACCTGGAATAATTTAGCAAGACCTGTCTCAAAATTTAAAAACCTTTAAAAAAGACTGGATGTAGCTCAGTGTGAAAGCTCTGAGTTCAATCCCTAGTACCACCACAGAAGAAAGTATTGGGGGCAGGGAAGAAGAAGAGGGAAAGACTGATTCCCAGTACCAAAAAAAAAAAAAAGAAAAAGAAGAAGAAGAAGGAAAGAGAGGAAGGAAGGAAAGGAGAGAGAGATTTTCTTTTATAGGTTGATAATATGTATCTGCAGGAAACCTAGCTGCAGAATGCTGTAGGGATTCCTCATTTAGGGAGAACATTACAGTAGTGCCCATTTGACAGGGCTCCTTGATCTGGCCTGACTACTCTGCAGCTACTGCACTGTCTTTCTGCTGTTCAGATTTGCCGAGCTTGCCACTGTCTCAGGCCTTTGCACTCAAGCCACCTTTTGCCTAGAGACTCGTCTCTGATCTTCATATGTGATGCTCCTCACACTTCCTGGTGTCAGCTCCAGAATCTTCTCCTCCTGAGACCTCTCCTGAGCACAGTGGTATAGGTTGTACCCCATCCAGTCACTTCATGTCCCAGCTCTCTGCCTATTTCCTTTTGGGAATAAAATGGCATCAATTCAAAAATAGTGGTTTAGTCTTTTTACATTTCAAAGAAGAAAAGATTTTTGCCAGTATTGTGTGGGATTAGGAGATGAACATCTGAAATAACCATTTAGCTTTTTGTTTGGCATCATTGACCCATAAAATCTTATCACTGAGCCAGGCACACTTATAATCCCATTTGAGGCAAAGAGGATTGCAAGTTCAAGCCCAGCCTTACCAATTTAGTGAGGTCTTGTCTCAAAATTTAAAACAAAAAAGGGCTGAGGCCAGGCATGGTGGCATATGCCTGTAATCCCAGCACTTGGGAGGCTGAGGCGGGAGGATTGTTGTAAGTTCGAGACCAGCCTGGGCTACAAAGTGAGCTCAAGGCCAGCCTGAACTGTATAGCAAGACCCTGTCTCAAAAAGACAAAAAAAAAAAAAAGAAAAGGACTGGGGATATAGATGTCCTGTGTTCATTGCTGGGCATGGTGGCACACACCTATAATCCCAGCACTTGGGAGGTTGAGGCAGGAGGGTTGCCATGAGTTTAAGGCCAACCTGGACTACATAAGCAAGTTTAAGGCCAGCACTATATAGTGAGACCCTGTCTCAAAAAACAAACAACCTTAAGCACTTGATTCTACTTTCTAGTAAATTATTCTATTTTGAAAAGAGGTATAGCATTTCAGTTTGAGGTTAAAAGAAGCTAACTAAAGATTTTTAAAATTAAAAGAATTCTTTCTAGTCTGATTTCTCCTTCACTCATGAGAAAAACCTTTGGGGCCAGGCATAGTTGCATGCACCTATAATCCCAGCACGTGGGGGACTGAGGCAGGAGGATCTCTACAAGTTCAAGGCCAGCCTGAGCTATATAGTGAAATCCTGTCTCAGAACACCTCTCACCAAAGAAAAGAAAAAAGGATTATTGGGAGGATGCTTGTCCTTGACTTTTGTTACAAGCAGGCAAGGGGGCAGGTGGCCCAGCTCAGGGCAGTTAGACGGGCCTTGTTAGAGAGCCAGGTGAGAACTTGTCCACAGAGATGAGCTGTTTCCTCTTGGATCTGTTCTGCAGTATAGGAGCCCCCAACAAAAGTAGTAAACTGGAGATGCCTTCTAAACTGTAGAAGAACCCACTGCCTTTACAAGACTGATATATTCCCAAAGGCCACTTAGCTGAAACTGGGAGAACCATGGCCCTGTATTCTCCTGGAAAGAGTGTGAACAGGGGGTAGGACACACAGGCTATTTTGAAAAACATTGTAAGTTTAAAAAATAAAAATAAAAAAGTCCCATCGTATTCAGAGACCTTAGCTCCCTACTCACTTAGTTCCCTATCTACTGATTGCAGAGCACCTTTGTGTCTGACTCACAGAGAACCTTTAGATTATGGCTCTCCGGCTGGGAGGCGAGAGGAAACACCTGTCAGATCCAACAAAGGCTATTCCTTGGACAGGAAATCTTTTCTGAAGGACCATCTGTGGGAACGCTGTTTATAGCAGTGTAAATCAGCTGCGTTAGGGCCTGAATGTGGAATCATGATAAGCACCTCTGTGCAGCTTACCCGCTTCTGAAATACAGATTTGGGTTTTGTTTTTGTTTTTCGAGACAGGGTCTCGCTGTGTAATTCAGGCTGGCCTTGAACTCACTATGTAGCCCAGGCTGGCAAACTTGAAGCAGTCCTCTGGCTTCAGCCCCCCAGGTGCTGGGATTACAAGGGTGCATCACTGCACCTGGCTGAGGATAGAATAATCTTTAAAAAAACTTTCATCCAACTTCTGCCTTGTATCTAGTCATTACAAATGGGCTTTTCTGAAGCTTTACCTTTTAATATTTTTACTTTTTTCAAATACAGAATTAAAAAACACCAAGATAAAAGAAAGAGTAATTCCTTGGCGTGGCCTAAGCACCTGCCTGGCAAGTGTGAGGTCGTGAGTTCGATCCCTGGTACCACAAAAAAAAAAAGAAAGAAAGTAATTCCTGATTAACATTCATAGTGTGGAAAAATGCTAGAGGTGCTTGGAAAGTTAAAAAAAAACTCACACCCAGAGACTGGTTTCAGTTGTTTTTGTTTTCTTTCTTTTTTTTTTGGTTTCAGTTTAATGACGTGTTTCTGTATTTGTTACCCGCTATTGTCTACATGGAGCCCAACTGATGTTGGCATTGCTGCGCTGCCAGGGAAATAGTTCTTGCCAGTTACTCAGCATTGGATATGTTTGTGATCTGTTTTCCTTCCTGAAAGCTGGTGGTTGTTCTTATTTCTCTCTTAGGTGGTGGTTGACACAGCACAGATTGAAAATAAAGAAGCCTACGCCCCCCAAATCAGTTTAGAAGGCACCAGAATTGTGGTTCAAGTCCCATCCACATGGTAACTTGACTTTTACATTACCAGAAGCTGATTGACGTTTGCACACCTTTGCAATGGTTATTTTGTTTTGAACAGACCCTATACTAATTGATACAACAGATATTGCCATATGTACAGGTTTATGGGCATTATTGCTATGTTAGTGGCATATGTTGTGATTATTGATCTACGACAGTGATGGTGAACCTTTTGGAGCTTTTCAGCAATAACAAACAGCCCACTATAGCACACATGCCATAGGTTCGCCTCCACTGGTCTAGGAAGGAGGCCAAGATGCCTGAAAGATAGCCTTCACTGCCAATGTAGCTAATGTAGCTAAAATGTCAGTACTCTTGGATCATAATGGGGCAGCATTATCTTTTCTTTGTTAGAATCCACAGCTTCTAGACTTAATACAGTATATCATTTCTCTTAGTATATAATTTTCTCCAGCTCACTCGTTACTTCTCTAAAGCTAAGTAGAGAACTTGGAATCCCTTCTCCTCTGTCTGTCCTGGTCATAGCCTGATGCTCTTTGAATTTATGTCATCACATACCCAATGTCACTGCACATCTGGGGATAAACACAACTCTTTTCAACTTTTTAATTATGTGTGTAACACTTAAAAAGATTATTCTTTTTTTCCAAAGGCATATTCTTAATTTATTACTATTCCTTTTAAAGCTCCTATGCCAGTATAGTGGCACATACTTGTAATCCCAGCTACGTGGGAGGCTGAAGCAGGAGGATGGCAAGTTCAGGCTAGCCAAGACAACTTAGCAAGACCCTGTCTCAAAATAATAAGGCTGGCCATGATGAAGGTGCACATCTATAATCCCAACATTCTGGGAGGTTGAGGCAGGAGGATTGCAAATTCAAGCTCAGCCAGGGTAATTTAGCAATTTAACAAGACCCTCCTTCAGAATTCCAAAAAGGAGGGTTGAGGTTGGGGGTATAGCTCAGTGCAAAGGGCATGGGTTCATCCCTAGTGCTGCATAAAATTTTTTTTTTTTTTTAATTTAAAAGGGCTGAGGATGTTGTTCAGTGCAAAAGTCCCAGATTCAGTCCCTGACACCAAGTAAAAAAAAGCCAGGAATGTTTACACGCACCTGTGATCCCAGCACTTGAGAGGCTAGAAGAAGAAGATTATGAGTTCAAGGCCAGCCTGGACTACATAGCAAGACCTTGTGTCAAAAAACCAAAAGAAAAAGAATTGGGGGTGTTTTTTAAAAAGGGCTGGGGAATGTAGCTTAGCGGTACAGTGTTTCTTGGTTCAGTTCCCCATACTGAGAGCAGGGGGCAGGGGAAGAGTTCTACAAGTCAGTCAGAAAACAGGCAAGGGATGTGACCAGGTAGAAGGAAGGTATACGGGTTACCATGCACAGGGACCCAGCTAATCAGGAAGATGAGGATGGAGGATGGAGAGTTGGAGGCCGGCCTGAACAATATAATGAGATCTTATCTCAAAAAATGAACATCTGGGCGTGGTGGCAAATATCTTTAATCCCAGCACTAGACTGAGGCAGGAGGATATGTTTGAGTCCAGCCCAGGGAAATTTAGCAATTTAATGAAATCCTGTCTTAAATTAAAAAGGGCTGGGAATATAGCTCAGTGTGGAGGCCCTGAGTGAGACTGGGGAAAAAGGGAAAGAAAACACAAAATCCATGTGATCAACAAATATGTGAAGAAAATACGTAATCTTTCCTAAAGATAAAAGGAAGACAATGTCAAGAAACCGCATGACACCATTTTGAAAATGTTCAGTATTTTAGAATAACAATGCTAAATAATGTGCTAGTACTAGTTTGGGCTACACTAAAAGCCCAAAGAGACAAAGGTCAAACAATGAATAAATCACACAGCCTTTTTGGAAGGTAGTTTATTATATCAGAAACCTAAAAGAAAGGATATGATCTCAGTGGTTATACAACTCTATCTCTAAGGATTTGTTCTTCCAATATTCATACAGATTTACCTATACAGTTTGACATCAGAGTTTTATTAATACCACATAGCAAATACTTTCTAATATAATTTTTGATATATAAATTATACTCTGGATGTATATTTAACTATAGAGAAAACACTTAAATCACTTAAATAGGAAGAGATACTAAGGAACAAAGACACTTTCATCGGTCCTTGTGTGGACTAAAGTGGTGGTTGGGTAGTACATGCATGTTTATTTGTGTTCAGTACTGTACTAGGATTTTTTTTTTTTTTTTTTGTCTTTTTAAGACTGGATCTTGCTATGCAGTTCAGGCTGGCCTTGAGCTCTGTAGCCCAGGATGGCCTTGAATTTGCAACGATCCTCCTGCCTCAGCCTCCTGAGTGCTGGGATTACAGGTGTGTGCCACCATGCCTGGCTCCATACTAGGAATTGAATGCAAGGCCTTTGCTTCAAGTTACATCCACAGCCCTTTTTTATTTTGTATTTTGAGACTGGGTCTTGCTACATTTCTGAGTTGCCCAGATGTGCTCGAACTTATGATCTTCCTGCCTTCACCTCCAGAGTACTAGGATTATATTTGTGCACCACCATCGTTGGCTTACAAATTGTATTTAAGCTTTTTTTTTAATGGTATTGAGGACTGAGCCGAAGGCCGCTCATAGGCTAGCCGAGTGTTCTGAGCTACATTCCCAGCCCTAAAGCATTTATTCTTAAAACAATGGTAGATTCCTACAGAAGTGTTTAGAACCTGTTAATATATTAAGAGTTACCAATTCATTTTATGTCCTAAAACCTCCCTTTTTAAAGAACAAAAACAACAATACTCTGGTTTCTCTTCAGATCGTATAAATCTTTCACCTTTTTAAAACACAAAAACAAAACTATATACCTTTGGCTGGCCCTTGAACTAAGAGCTGCCTCAAATTGCAATCCTCTTCCCTCAGCCTCCCAAATTCCAGGATTATGCCTGGGCACCACCACACCTAGCTCAAAATTTTGATTATTTTCTGAAATTATTGGTGATTTATATACATACTTTTTTTTTTTTGTCTTTTTTGAGACAGGGTTTTGCTATGCAGTTCAAGCTGGCTTGAACTCACTGTATAGCCCTAGCTGGCCTTGAACTCACAGCAGTCCTACCCTCAGCCTCCCAAATGCTGAGATTACAGGCATGCACCACCATACCTTCATTTCTGTCAAACAGTAAATTTAAAAGATCATTTTTCTGTAAGATTTTGAGTTCCTGAATTTCTAATTTTCCAATTCAAATTCTTATTGAAAAATATTCAGCTTTATTAGGATTCTCATTTTGATGAAAGTAGACTGAATTTTTATATAATTGGGTGAAGGTAAATAGCTAGTACTAAAATGGTTAGCCCCTCAAGTATCTTCCAAAACCCTCCCTGTATGGTCAGTTTCCTTTTTTCAAGAAAAACACCTAGTGTTTCCTTGCAGTGGCTCCCTCTGCTGTCTGCCTTTGCTAATGATGCAAAATCTTTTTTAAAATTAATTTCACTGGTACATTTTAGATAGGCATAATGATAAATTTATCATAGGGAATGTGTACCTGATATATCTTCTTCTTTTTTTCCCATTCCCCTCCCCTCCCTTCAGCCCCTCTTCTCTTTATTTATAAACACTTTGTAGTGGCCGGGCGTGGTGGCGCACGCCTGTAATCCCAGCACTCGGGAGGCTGAGGCAGGAGGATCGTTGGGAGCTGAAGACCAGCCTGGGCTACAAAGTGAGCTCAAGGTCAGCCTGAACTGCATAGCGAGACCCTGTCTCAAAAAGACAGAAATAAATAAATAAATAAAAATTTAAAAATAAAAGCTTTGTTTCTGCTTTTTCCTCTTCTTTCCTTTCCTCCACTCCCCCTTATTTCCCTTCTCATTTGAGCATTTTGTTTTTCCATTTCCCCATATCTATTATACATTTTGGTCTTATTTACACTTTTGGTTTCTCACACCAGAGAAACAATAATGATACAAAATCTTAAGGATGTTTTGAGGTTT